TGGTTGATGGGCAGAATCACAGCCTTTAGGACAGAAGTCCCCTGTCTTTCTCCTTTGCTCCAAAGCAATAAACCCTCTTTTCCCCTTTTCTCAATAAATAAATGAATATAAAAAAAATGAAAATAAAAAGTTGATTCCTTAATCAATAAAGAGAGATACCATTATAAACTTACTGATGCTTTGTATATTTGATGCACTTCAATCATTGCCCTTAATAATCTTTTTCATGCTCAAATGATTTCATCTTTGGGTCCTTTAGCCTGGTTCATGGGTCCTTTAAAAATAACTCCAGAGTCCTACTTTCTTTACTTTTAGGTATGGCAAAATATCTTAATTTTATTTTGCATCTTCCCTGACACAGATCTAGGATTAAACATTTCTCTAAAAGAACTGAGTTTATATAATGGCAAATGATAATTGGAAACCACAATCTGTAAACTAGAGGTGTTCACTGCTGTGAAAGTTTTGTAACTTCTGTCCATCAGTGAAAAGTACTAGAGAATGTATTTTTTGAGAAAGGGAAATAATAAAGTATGAGTTCAGAGTGATGGTTCTAAATCAAGTTAAAAATCATGATTTTAACTTAGTATCTTTTTATATTTAATTTTTTCTTATGTTGAAAATATTGGCTTTTAATGATTTTAACATAATTGTTTCCTTTTCATATAATAAAAGCATCATTTAAAATTTCTTTGTTTCTTTTTCTGTCCTTAGAATGTCTCTATCTCTAGAAATACATTATTTAAATTCTGTTTAAAAATCATGGAATTAATTATTCTCTGTGTGAATATGACATCAACTGGTAAGTTTGTTTTTAAATGTTACTTTTATAAATATATTATTTTATTTTTAAATCATTTTAACAAGGCAAAAATTTACTTGATTCCAAAGTCAAAGTTATAAATGTTTGGGTCCTGATATTTTTTTGGTATGCCCCCAAATCAATGTGGTCCTCTTTCTTTCTTTTTGTTTATTTTTTGTTTGTTTATTTTATTTATTTATTTACTTGTTTGTTTATTTATTTATTTATTTTGGCATTTTCTTGGTTTCTGGCCCTACAAATTGCTCCAGGCTCCTATAGCTTTCACTTTCCAATCAAGAATCAATTATTTCTCCAAGAATCGCAAGTTTCTTTTGATGGAGAATGTATTGGAAGTCAATATCTTGTTGTGCTCTTGGCTACTGGATTGTCATTCCCTTTAAGACTTCTGAGCTAACAGAGCACATAAATACATATCATACATTATTTTTTATTTAATTGTTTAATACTTAACTGTAAGATAAGCATTTATATATAATGAATATATATCTGTTATAGACAGGTATTTCAATTATAATGGCTACTAATATATTAATAACTCCTGAGATTCTTCTTTGGTATGAGACAGTAAAAAGTTGGTCTAATGATTTTTTTCTGCATACATGCATGGGTTACATATTTACATATTTAGACTTCCTCTAACTTCATAATTTACTATGAAGAGCTTTATATATGATTATTCTTTTATAAATCCTTCCATTATTTTTGCTCTAAAAAGGAAAATATGACTTTATTATAGAGGTTGTCAACCACAAAAAGCAACAAAGTTCATTGAAAAATAGAAGTGAAATTGAATTGCAACTCAGAAGTCAAGATTTCTATTATTTCTTTTGAATTGAGTTGTCACTTGATTAATTTCTATGTACTAGAAAAAAAAGCTATCACAATCAGGGTCATGTAATTTACTAGATAAAAATTATGCTCCTGATGGTATGTATCCACAATATAATCTAAAATAGACAAAATTAATTGCCAAAACCAAATGTATTGTGTAATCTTTTTGCAACAATAATATACTGATACCTAAAATAATTTCCTTCCTTATAATGTTATATTGAACTAATGTTATCTTTTAGTTTCAATGACCCAATTTGTTGCATAATTTAAATTGACAAATGCAATTATTAGATTTTAAATAAAGAGTATTGTTTGTATCAGAAATTGTGCATTTCAACTTTCTGAACTACTTTAACTAAATGTCTTTTAAAATAAAAATATATTTCTGTTCAAAATATACTTATTACAAGATAAATAAATACACAATGGAAGTGAAAAATGATAAAACAATTCTTAAACTGGACTTTTGTTAAGTGAGAAGACAGGATCATCTGGAGTATTTGCTTACGAGTTTACAACACCCCTGAAATCATTTTCATCCGATATCTTTAAAGTGTCTCCCTCATCTTGTTGTGTGTGTGTAGTTCACAGCCATTTAGCACTCCTGTGATAGACACATAATGATCGTGATCATCCATTTCAGATCATTCTTTGTAAGTTGTCAAATCTTGCTGAAAAGGCAGACCCTGGAGAAGTGACTTTTTTGCTTGCCTTGCACTTCACTGACTTAGACAGGGATTTACTAGAAGTTGTAATTGGCTCCTCTGATCGACAATGAAGAGCACAATTCTTACTGCTTTGACTCTTTTTGTGGATTGATAAATGCTTTGAATTATGGTAGCATGCTGAAGTGAAGTCTGCTAATGCGAAAGGAATTGTGAGCTAATGACTTACAAGCACTACAGGGTGGCTGTCGACACAATTTTTGGTACCAGTTTTTACTGCTTCATTTTATCCTCATTTGGAAAGGATTTTAATCTTTCTAGCTCAATCAACAAATTAAGAACGAAATTTACCTGACATATGACACATGACTTGTGTGTAATAGGCCATTTTTGATGGGAAGAGGCAGTAACCATTTGTTAAATGATCCCCTTGGCTCCTCAAAAAGTTAATAAAGTTTCCCCGAAGCACTTAACCTTCTTCAAATGAATCATTTATACACTAGGAAAAACTATCTCCATGATTACCTACTCGAGGCCTAATACTTTGCAAAATAGATGAAGGATACCTAAGCATTTGATTAACTTCCTAAAACTTCTAGCAGAAAATGAGTACAGATTTATCTTAAATTATTTTAATTATTTTAAATAATTGGACTCTGGATATAATATTGAGTGACTCTTGTTTAAGAGCATTTGTTTATTTATTTCTAAAAGGAGCATTTTTTTCTGCATAGTGAATATTTTTATAAGGCTTGAACTCTACAAACTAGCTTAAATTTGTAAATGATTATAAGCCATAATTACTAATTAACCTTCACTCTCCACTTGTTTACTATAAGTGAATTCTTTCACCCCATTTTCTTAGTAGGAATCTAAAATGCCAAAATCATTTTTTTCTTAAACATTTACTTTTATCAATAATAAAATACAGATGAAGTTCACAAACACAAAGAGTAACTTCCTTACTCATTTTTGTACATAATTTTATAGATAGGTGCATCCAGTCTGTATTTATGTGTATAAAATATGTACATGCACAAGAGTTTATTTTCTTACCTTCCTTTCTCTATTTCCTTTCTTCATGCCTTCTTTTCTCTTTATCTTTTCTTTCCCTGTCTTCCAATTCTTCCTTCCTTCCTTCTGTTTCTCCCTCCCCCTCCCTTTTCATTATTTGCTTTTCTTTCTTTCATCTCTATGTTTACTCCATGTATTGTATTAGGATACTGTATACTCAAATGTGTAATGATTACTAGCATTTTCTTTTGAAATAAAACTTGATTTTTTAGGTATCAAAAGTTCAAATAGCATTTGCAATAAAATAGAGTGATGTTTGTTAGTAATAACAGGAGAGAAAGTGACACACTGGAGATCAAAGCTCTACCATTCAACAAAGTCAAACACTGAAGAGAATATCACAGGTTGGAGTCTGGCTTTGTCAGAAATTATTTTAAATTCCAAAATATAAAGTAATTATTGTGGTAATTGTTTACATTTCTGAATTTCATTTACCCCTTTTCATAATAAAGGGAAAAGTGTGTATTTCAGATTAGTATAATTGCATTTAGATAATATTTTATAATTAATTTTAAGACTCAATTTCAATGTTGCAATTGTAAAGGAAATTCTCCATTCTAGATGTGGTATTTAAAGGTTTGTGAACTAGCAAACAGTGTCTTCATATTTAAGAATTTGTGAAAATGTGCTTCCTCCAGTTTTTTTTTTAAGTAATCAATCCTAAGTAAGTTTCATAACCAAATCTGGAGCATGCTATTTTCTTCCTAGCGTGGCAACAGAAAAGTCATTTCTCTTAAGTATCAGAATCTTTGTATAGTCACTTTTTGAATTTATACATATTTTTCAAATTAAAACTATTATATATTTTTAATTTCTATGCATTTTTCTCACATACTCTTTATTAAGTAAAAACATACCAAACTTGTCACAACTAGATATTTGTACCTAAGTAGGTTATCAAAGTATTCTAAATTTTTAAAAAATATATTTAACAAAAATTATTTTAGAATATATTTAGATTTATAATTGTAAAAATAGTATAGAAATTTCTTATGTACCCTACTCCTAAATTCCCCTATTATTTATATTTTGCATTAATATATCATATTTGTCACAATTTACAATTGATATTGTTATGTGATTAACTAAACTATATATTTTCTTCAAATTGTCTTGTTTTTTTTTAAGAGAGAGAGAGAGAGAGAGAGAGAGAGAGAGAATTTTTTTTAATATTTTATTTTTTAGTTATTGGCGGACACAACATCTTTGTTTGTATGTGGTGCTGAGGATCCAACCTGGGCCGCACGCATGCCAGGCAAGTGCACTACTGCTGAGCCACATCCCCAGCCCCAAAATTGTCTTGTTCTTTTTGTGTCCTTTTTCTGTCCCAGTATCCTAAACAGTATACCACACTGAACTTATTGCTCTTGTCAAACATGATTTCATTAAAGCTGTAGATTGCTTTGACTTGTATGGACATTTAAAAAATATTAATTTTCCACTCATAAATATCAAGTATCTTTCCATTTATTTGTCTTAACTTTTTTCATCATTTGTTGTAGTTTTCTGTTTATAGATCTTTCACTTCTGTTTGAAAAATTATTTCTAAATATTTTTGTGATTCTATTGCAAATGCAGTTGTTAATTTATTTTTCAGGTTGTTGTTAGCTTGTAAAAATGCAATGACTTTTCGATGTTGATTTTATTCCTTTATTTAGTCCATGTCTGCTCTATGACAATTTTTACTCCTTTGTACAAACACGCTAACTCTAAATTTCACTTAAAAATCACATACAGATTACTAGCACAGCATTTATTTGTCCAAATAATTGCATAGCATCTAGGAAGCTAATTTCCAGGAATAATTTACGTAACTCTATCCTTTCATCCTGATACTATTTCAATCTCTTCTTATTGTAATAGTGATAAATGAATAATATCTATCACTACCATAAAGCATTTGAATTATTTTCACTAGAAATAAAGCATTATACATGTCTAAATGTATCTTGGGTATCAATCAGCATGGGGTAATAAATAATGTGAGTAATTATGTGTTTTATATATGTAAACTAAGTAGATTGTTTTAGAAGCTAAATACAAATTATATGAGGAGACATTTTTGAATTATAAATTAATATTAGTTGATTAAAATAAAAGGTTAATTTTCAATTAGCTAGATTAATCTTGAACAATTTTTCAGACTATTATGTTCTGAAGGATTAACTTCCCTCCAATAATTAAGTTTTTTAAATATAATGATTTGATTTTGTCTGAGATTAATTTTTCTTCTGCTGAAGATATTAAGACGGAATACTTTCAATGAACTGTATTGTTTATTTTTTGTTACCTTGTATTCTTTATTTCTAATTCTTTCATTGATATGAATTCACCCAAAACTCAATATCCCAGAGATGATGAAAATTCCCATCCAAACATTTTCTAAAAGAGAATTGAGAAAATTGC